GGTGACAGCTTGCACACCTTGTGGTTGGGTAGAAGGATCTCTTTGGGAGATTCTAGATATCTAGTTTAACTACTAATTCATAGAACCTTAGTGTAAGATTGTATGTTATGCTACCCGATTTATTCTGTGTATGGTTAATTGATTGATAGAAGATATGGGGGGTCGTGTGTGTTTTTACTTGGCATTCCAAGCTCATGGCATGTCATGCCAGGTGAGGAAGCAATTTACAATTGTGAAGGTTATCCCGAAGGCAATCAAGATGAAGTGTTGGAGTCGTGGTTTACTTGAAGATTTAGATTAGTAGTTTTTTTTTTCTTTTCTTTTCTTTTCTTTTGTCTTTTGGTTTGACAGTGTTTTGTAATCCTATAGCGGAATACAAATGAATTATCTATGCTATAACTCTGCTTATATGTGTATATTAAAATATTTAGGTTATCTATCCTATTTGAATTGTATTTTATACATTCCTTTTACAGTCTCGAATTTTGGGGCGTGACATATGTCTTCTTGAAGAAGAGGGGAAGGGCTGAAGAGCCACTTGAGTGAGAAAAAATTCAGCTCACAATCAAACTTTTTCCAAGTGAACAAAATACCTCTAAACATATAAAAATTTGTCAGAAATAATTAGGAATCTATATTAAAAAGACTACCTTGCTAGCTACATTTTTCATTATATAAGAGCATAGCAACTTCACACCCCCAATGACAAAACAAATGAGTAGAGTTAGGTTAAGAACAACTCCTTACCTAGTGGAACCCCAACAACTTAGACCGCATTACCCCTATAAAGAGACTCAAGTTCGAGTTCCCCTAAGTTACCTACCAAATAACAACTGCTTAACAAATCAAAATTGGACTAACTGTTAAATATCCCTATGACAACTTAGAAGGCCAATGAATTGCACTCAATTAAAACAAAACAACTACAATATAAAATCCATAAAATGTCTTCTACTTGCTCAAATCAAAAGACCCTTAACTGAATTTTCAACAACTCCTAGGGGATGGAACCCTTAAGGTTCTCTTGACCTGTTCTCAGGATAATACATGTTAACAGAATAAAGCCAGCTCATGTGTTCAGAAGCCAACTTGAAGCCTCCATCATTCCTCGCTAGCTCTACACGAGAAGCACGTGACGGGACGGAATTAACACCCAGTATGAGAGAATTATTGAAATTCCACAAAATTCTTGGACAAAAATGTTGTGCATCACAAATCATATATCTTCTTTTCTTTTTAACTTTTTTTTTTTTTTTTTTGATCAACAACAAAAAAAACTTAATTGATAATCAAAAAAAGGAAGCGAGGATGAGGCATCCTCTTACAAAAGGGCAATGAAAATACAAAAAATGAAATCCCTAACAAGCTAATCACGAGCAAAAGCCTATATATCACACACCGCCAACCAATCTCTAACTAACAAAAAAAGTGGGACTCCCTTAAAATTTATGAAGATCATGAGGAGAAAAAATGGACAAATCTAAAATTTCACATGGAGCACATTTAGGACATCATGGATTGAACTTTAGAATAATTTTGAGTCGTTATTTGTATTTATTCTAATTATAGTAGTCTATGAGGCATGGACACGGACACAGAAATTTTTAAAAAACTAGAGACACGACACGCTGGGGACATGTTCAATATATACATAATTTTATTTATTTATTATATGTCTAAAAGAGAGAGACACAGAGAGAGAGAGAGAGAGAGAGAGAGAGAGAGAGAGAGAGAGTTCATTAGAAGGTAATTAAACATGCAAAATAATACTAAAAAAAATTAAAAGAAACATACATTTCACTACTTTAACATCAAAAGCAATAAAAAATTCCTATGAAATTACAATAACAATATAATTAACAAACACATTCAATAAAACAATAAAATTAATAAACACATTCAATAAATTAATTTTTTCTAACAAATAAAAATAATTAGTTCTATATAAAGGTTAAGCAAACAAGAATACCAAACAAATAGAAAAAATTAAAAGAGGGAAAAAAAGATGGGCTTAGACATAAATAAAGAAAAAATAAGATTTTTGTTATAAAATAAAAAAAATAAAAAAGATATTTTCAATCTCTCATCAGAGAGAGAAGAAAAAGAAATAAAAAATTTAAAAAAAAAAAGATATTTTTGAACTCTCATAAGAGAGGATAAAATATATATATATATATAAACACAAAACAGATACAAAGAAAACAGAGGAGGAGAGAGACGAAAACACAGAGAAAGAGAGAGAAGACCGAAAAAGCGAGAGAGAGAGAGAGAGAAAGGAGACGAAGTGCGAGAGAGAGAGAGCCGAAAGACACAGATAGAGAGACGACCTGCGAACTGAAGAAAGAAGAAGAAGAACGAAGCAAAGAAAAAGAACAAAGGACATACCTCGATCTAGGCTTCAATTGGTTTTTTATCCTCTTGAGCTTCAACATGTTCAAATTATTCTTCACCCTCTTTCTCTCCTCTATTGTTCTCTTATCCTTTTTCAATTCGATTTTCTCTTCTCTCTTCTTTTTTAATTTTTGTTTTTTTACAATTTGGCCCTATTTAGAAGTTTCAGAAATTACGTTTTGTACCCAACGGTGTCCAAAACATGCCCAAGCGTGTCCAAAACATGTCCGGCTGCAAAAAATTCAAAAAAAAAGAGGGACACCTTAGGGAGAGTGTCGGACATGTGTCCAGCGCGTGTCTGTGTCCGACACTAATACGCAGGCCTTGGGGAGGTGTTCATGCTTTATAGTAGTTTTTAGTACTAAGGGCATTAAAATAATTTCAATAATTGTTGGACATAGGTTGTAGGGGTCGCCCATGGGCTTTATTTTGGGTCAAGTTATTAAACAGGTCAATATATGTATGTTTTATTATGTCTAAAATAATCTTAGTTGTCAAAAAAGGTAAGTTTCCTATTTTGATATTGGAATATAATTAGAAGTCATCAAAATTTCCTATTATGATTGAAGTACAATTGGGCGTCATAGTCATAGTTGGTCTAGAATATTCATAGTTGCCAAATATTCTTAATTTCTAAATTTGATTTCTAGTCCTTATAGAATTAGGAGGCTTTAGTCTATAAATATGTGCATAATCTCAATGATTCAAAAGAAGAGTTGATATTATGAGAATTTGAAATTGTGTTTGTGTGTGGTTGGCCTAGCCCTTGCGGGGCCAAAGCACCGCTTTCTCTTTCTCTTTCTCTCTCTCTCTCTTGTTCTTCTTCTTGTTCTCTTTCTTCTTCTTTGTGCACATACCCTATATACTATTCTCGGGTTAGTATTAACAGCCAACTAGAACTCCACTTTCAGCCCCAAAACCCAATCATATCACCTCCAAATCGACCCTAATTCTTTCCCCTACCTATTAGCCTTCAATTTAACCATTCAAACCCTAAATTACTAACTATTTGCGCCCTTAAATAACTTCTGTTTAAAAACCAAACAAGTTGTCCTACATCACCACTTGCCTTTGTCCTTGCAAGGAGTTGTCCTACAGTCCTGCTCAACCCCATCTCTAGCAAGACTCCCAAACCCCAAAAACCCCTCTCCTCCCCCCAACAAAACAAATAAATAAAGAAGAAAGTGAAGGTGAACAATGCTAAGGAGAAATGACCCTAAATCTACTTGTTAAAAACAAATTTCAATGGATTAACCTCCTCTAAGTGTCACAATCCAGGATAGAATTACGAATATTAGAAAGGTTTAGAACCCCAAACTAACTTGTGGGGTCAAAATACATATAGGTTAGCATAAACAAGAACAATGACCTTCAAAAGCAATATGCCTACTTCTTGAAGCAGAAGTTTTTCTTTTTATAGGTATTCTTGGTCCAGATAATTATAATTCACCAAGACATGGAACCCGAATTAGTGTTGTGAAAAGAAACCTTGAAATGCCCCACTTCACTTGGTTTTAGCCTTACAGTGGAAAGAGCTATTAAACAATAGCATACATGACCATAATACAGTGAGCAAAATATGTCCAGAACACAAGCTATTCCTAATGGCAAATGATTAAAGAGAGAGCTTAATGCATTCAATTGGTCATGTAAATTTAGGATATTAATACCAACCAACCCATTAATTTCATAACACCTCAAAATTAAACCATTTCAAAAAGGGATGCTTTGGGAAAATGGTTAAAAGCTGTTTTTTGGCTTTTTTTCGGATTTTTTGTGAGAGAAGGAAGTGGGTTAAAAACTGAGAAGTGGCTTTTAACCCACTTCCCAAAATAGGTCAAAATTTCCCCAAATCAAAATAAACTAATACGAAACCCTTCAGTAGAACTCACTCTCAAAAACCAGTATGAAAAGGGAACTAGCCTATCATATTGGACACCTTAACCGTATATTAATCCAACCTATAGGTCTTCCCCTTAGCTGATCCAATTATCACTTAGGTTAAGGCCTCATTTGGAAAGAGGCTATTTTAGTAAATGTTTGACTTTTTGGGTAAAATATGAGATAAAAAAAAACTGTATGTTTGGAATAATTTTTTGGTTTGTTACGAAAAGATATGTAAAAAGTAGAAAGAAAATAGAATCTTTGACTTTTTTATATAAATTGTTAGTTTTTTTATTGTTTTTTTGGACTTTTGGACTTCTAGGCTAAAAAGTAATGTTGCTAAACGAGGTCTAAGTCTGATACCATACTCCGCGGCTAACTCTTATACCAGATTATTCAAACCTCTTGGGACAAACTCGGGCTTGAAAATTGGTTTCGGCGTGCAAAGGGAGGGTGCCCAAGGGACTTATATTCATCTCGTCAAGCTCTTGCTTTAGCAATGTGGGACAATAATAGGATGGTAACACAAACACTAACAATAAAATCGCAAACCAACTGAATCAATTGGGAACGCATAATTGATGTATAAGAACTACAAGAAAAACAGAAATATAAAATGAATATAAGGAATCATTTGATTTGAGCATAAAACTTAAAAAAATAAAAATAAATAAATAAAGAAAGAAAGATGAATAGAAGAGAAAAACGAATATAAACTAACTAACCGTAATCATTTAAAAATTTCTTGTGCCGATCGTAAGCGTTAAGTCCTCGTATGTGAGCCTGGTACTGCCTGCAAACAGAAAACTTGTGAGGACACCACATGGAGTATAAAAGGAGAGGGAGAGAGATAAAGGAAATAAAAACGCACTGTTTTCTCTCTTCTCTGTCAAAGATTGCAGACTTGAGAGACCTAAAAGACGCCATTTCCTGGTTGTGAACACGTAAAAACCTAAAATCCCTGCTGGTATGAACAACCTTCAAATTTGCGCACAAAAAATAAAGGAAAACTTCGAAGAAAATTAATACTCATATATTGAATTAGGCCAAGTTTGGGAGCAGGTCTTCTTTAGTAATTTCCTTTTGTATTTTTTACTAAAATATAATATAAAAAGATTAATATATTTAGGATGAACATTTTGATTTTTTATCAAAAAAAAAATTTGTGAAAAAAATAATATAAATAATTAAAAGTGAATAATTTGACAAAAATGCGGTAGACTAATGCCAAGGCTGCACGACTGTTCAGTAAATATAAAACAATCAACAATGATTCATCCTACTAATTTGGGAGTACTAATAGACTACTAATTAGGTGACAATTCCAAAAAAAAAAAAACACAAGAGCAAAACATCCCATCATGTGGGATCCATACCACTTTAGAGCTATTAGTGCTTCTCTTTTTTGTGGTCTCACTCATTTTTGTAAAATAATAAAATATATTTGTAAATATCAACTCATATTGTAGGCAGTACAATAGGCATCAAGACTACACTGTGATAGTTAGGGGTGTACACGGTCCGGATTGGTTCGGTTCTGAGAAAATCCAAGAACCGAACTAATCCTAACGGTTCTGTGATTTTGAGAACCAGACCAGACCGTTACACTTAAAATTTGGCCTAACCGGTCAACCGGCTGGTCAACCGGCCGGTCGACCACCCGGTTGTCCCGGGATAGATTTGGTGAAGGTGAACCGTTAGAGCCTGAAGTATCAAATTCAGGAAATGGCCATTTTTTAACTCAGATTTGGTGAAATTTTTGATTCACCGTTGGAGATGCTCTTAGGATGAACATTTTGATTTTTTATCAAAAAAAAAAATTTGTGAAAAAAATAATATAAATAATTAAAAGTGAATAATTTGACAAAAATGCGGTAGACTAATGCCAAGGCTGCACGACTGTTCAGTAAATATAAAACAATCAACAATGATTCATCCTACTAATTTGGGAGCACTAATAGACTACTAATGAGGTGGCAATTCAAAAAAAAAAAAAACACAAGAGCAAAACATCCCATCATGTGGGATCCATACCACTTTAGAGCTATTAGTGCTTCTCTTTTTAGTGGTCTCACTCATTTTTGTAAAATAATAAAATATATTTGTAAATATCAACTCATATTGTAGGCAGTACAATAGGCATCAAGACTACACTGTGATAGTACACTACTGCTTAGTACACTATCACTGTAGGATAAAAATTGTAAGTTTTTTAATTTTTTAATGACTTTTTAACTTTTAAACTAAAATCACCACTTGCCAAATGAGGCCTAAGACTTGTTTAATTTTTAGTAGTAACATTTTTGGTAAATGTTTTACTATCATTTTCATAAGGTTAATGTTGGAAAAAATGGTTTTATATAGACATATTTTTTAACCCAATTTGGGTGGACCCCAAACGTGTTTTGGGGTGGGTCCGAAAAGGTGAAGTGGTGAAGACAGAACGTCAAAACCATTTATAAGTGAATGGGAAGATGACGTCGTTTTCGGGTTTAACATTAATTTTTTAGATAAAATTCTTTTGAATTTTTTCAATAAAAATTATTGTGGGAATTTAATTTAATTCTAAATTCAAATTTTGGGTTCCTAAGTGGTTTCCTAAAATTTATACTTCTTTTCTTTATTTATTATATTATTCAATTTGTTATATATATATAGGTTGTTGTCTGTGGATAATCTTAGCACGTCAGGTGAAGACAGCTGGTTCTTGTCTACCTGGAATCTCCCCCAATTAGTGTTCAAATATCCTCCAACAGTGAGTGGTGAGAACAGTATAATGAGGGTCGAGTGAAGGTTAGCATAAAATGAGTTTTCTGTAAATAGTGTGTTATTTTGCAGGTCTTATATTTTCTCAGATGCCAGAAGCTTTTAATCCGAGTGGTGTGAGTTTATTAAATTGTGGGTTGAGTGATCGTGAGCATCAAAACTGTGGGTTGAGTGGCAGTGAGATTCTATATGGTGGGATTTTACTAATGTTAGTGGATTATATATCTGTTCTTTTGTATTTTTGTATGCAGGTTGCGGTAAATTGCCAGCTTTGGAAGGTGAATGAGTGTTGTGCGTTCCTAAATTGTGGGTTGAGTGATGTGAGCCCTCAAATAGAGTGTACTTGTTTGGGTCTATCATCTGGACTTCATATTTTGTTCTGTTATGGATTCTCAGACTCCTCATGCCTTAAAGATCCCTGCCATCTCACTGTGGTTTCATGCTTATTTTTGTATTGAGCAGGATAAATTGGCAAAGGATAGGATTTGGAATGCTTGGAGCAGTCTACACAGAACTTTGTTCCTGTTTCTGTGGTGGAATTTTCTAACTCCTGAAGGACTGAACGTGTTGATTAGACATATTGTATATTTAGGCCTCGTTTGGCATGCGACAATTTTAGCCTAAAAGCCAAAAAGCTACTAAAAAAATCAAAAAGCCTACAACCTATACCAAAAAGTCAGATTCTCTTTTCTCTCTACTTTTTGCACATCTTTTCGTAAAAAACCAAAAAGTCATTCCAAACATACTAGTTTTTTTTTTTACCTCATATTTTAGCCAAAAGGCCAAAAAATTACTAAAACAGCCTGTTCCCAAATGAGGCCTTAGTATTTTGTACCCTTTTTGTAATGAAGCTCTTCAACCCTCCAAAGATCTGGAGCTGTTGGCTGGTGGTTGATGATGTTTGCAAGCTGCTTTTATTTTTGGAAGATGCCTTATGATATGTGGATATGGTTAATTTTCACACTCTATACAGTTTGGTTAGTTTACCTACTCTTCGGGTTGTGCAAGGGACATTGACTTTTTGCTTATAGATTTCATGGCTTTGGTTTTGTTCATGGCCGTCGGCTCTTTACATGTGGTCTGTGAAAATTGTTGTTCCCTTGAACCTTCTTTAGTTATACGTGTTCTATGCTCTTACTGTTATGTTAGCTACAGGATCCATCATAGGCATTGATATATATGTTTAGTGCTGGGTTTTGATTACTGTTTGGTGTCAAGGTGCGCCCATCCAAGGGCCAACACCTTGATGCCACACACATTTGTGTCCTTTGGAGAGCCAAAGACATGCCCAAGAATTGTTAGTGCAAGTGCAAGCAAAGGCCCAAGGCAAAGTGCAAGACAGCCCGCGGCAAGCCATGAGATAGCATATGCCAAGCCGCAGCCAGCAGCAACCCAGGCCGCAGCCTTGCCAGCAGCCCAGCAGCAGTGCCAGGCCACAGCAGGCTGCAGCCCCAGCCACAGCAGGCCGCAGCCTTGCCTGTGCAGCAGCAACTTTAAGGCACATTTTGGAGGGTCAAATGTAATCTTTTTGCCTTGTAAATTTTTATGTAAATCCCTTAATATTAAAGGTGTTTTGGGACCAAGTTTTGTAATTTTTCTCTTTCTGTAGAATTTTTAGATATTCATTATGACTCCTCAAATATAAAGGATGTTTCATCTTGCCAGCTAGGAAAAGACTTAACAAGCTATATTGAGGAGGGGATACCAAAGTGTTGAACCAGACCACTTGTGCCTTTAAAGTACCCCAACCTAGCCAATGGTAAGGCAACTTTTGTAGCATTTTTGGTGCATTGTTCAACTCATGTAATGCCTAGTTTTGATCAATGAAAAGTTCATTTCGCCTTTAAATTGTGCAAAACTTTTCTAGTATTGCTTGCTTTAATTTTGGCTTGTTGCTTGCTATTTTGTGGCTTGTCTCCAAACTTATTGGTTTATCAACTAATCAATTTTGTGTTTGCTTGTCTTTGCAAACCCTTTGAGCTTTATTGGCGGGCTAGTGAAGAGAGTTAACTAGCGCCACACACACTTGCAAATCTCTTGACAAGGCTTCCGTGTAGCCGGTGTGTGACACTTAGCCAAGTATCGTATCGGTTAGGGCTTGGTTTCTTTGTTTTGTTGGGTGTTGCTCTGTTCTCGTTGTATAGTTTGTTAGGGCCTAAGGCATGCCCCCTGTATTTGTGTAATCCTTTTGTTTTATTTTATTTCTTACTTACCCAAAAAAACTCTAACCCTAGGTCTGATGCCTAGACTTTTTCTTCTTCTTTCTTCTTTCTTCTTTCTTTTCTGCATTAATTCAGCAAGTTACCGTTCCACAGTTGCTGTTCACACCTTATAACAGTGCCATAACAGCCCCTGTTTTGATCTCCTTCACCCGATTTATCAATCCTAAACCTAGTTCATTCCATTCATTAATTGAAATCCTAAAATTCATATTGATTTTCAGCTTTAAGCCACCATAGAAACCCACAGAAATTCAGCTTTAGAGTTTTTACAGCGCTGTCCCTAACCGTCCTGCATCAAATCCTCTTCTAGGTTTTGTTATGGGTTACTCCGCTGCAGGTGTAGTTCTATTTATATTTTATAATGTTTTAAGATTCAATGGGCTTTGGCAATTCCTAGACACTCTGTAAAAGTGATCCATAACTCATATACAGGTCACGCTTTTCGGTCGTTGTAAGTGATCTAATTAGGTTTAGAAAAGTATAAATAGTTGACATGTCAAAAATTTGGAAGGCTCTATTTACACACCACCTTTCATCTCAAGGCACCCCATTAAATAATTTATTTTTTATTACAAATTTAACCTAAAATGACTACAAAGGACAAGCTATGATACACACCATTTGTATAATTGCTGTAAAGGACAATAATGAATATAATACACATCAACAATCCCAACATGTTACTTACGTATTTTGTCTATCAAGAATCCAAAAACCCTAAAACAAAAACCAAAAACCCTTAAAGAAATAACCACAAATATATGTATTATTGAAGATTTTGATTGGATTCAATGAAGGATGCGTCTGGCAATACTGATTCGGAAAAATGGAGCAAGGAAAAGGTTATTTTTTTTGTTTTTTTGTCATTTTCGTTTTCGTTTACTTGCTGAGTGGTAAACCGTTTGTATTAGTTCGGTTATCCAGAGTCGAATAATATATCATTGTTCGACTACCTACAACCGAACAAATTGTAGCTGTTCGGTTTTATACTACCAAACCTAATCCAATTATTCGGTTTTTAAGTATCGAGCAAATACCATATGT